TCTTGCCCATCTCTCTCCTCATTTCCCTTAACATTTTGACTCAGGAAAACAAAGTCCTCAGGATTTTCCAAACACAAACTCTTTCCTGCCTCCCTATCTTTAAACAAATTGTTCCCAACTATCATCCAATATTCCTCATTCAAATCTAGTTCTGAGAGCATTGATGCCTTCCCTGACACTCCCAAATAGAATTAACATTTTCACCTCCTCCTCTGTAACTTATCAGTATACCAATTTTGGAGTCCCAGAGCCCATTGACATTTCAAGACTGACATCACTTACTCTTCTACTTCCTCTACCCTCCACTCAACAAGTGCTGTCACTCAGAGAGTGGCATTGTTTTTAGCTCAGGAGCCAAAGACAGAAATCTGGGCTTCATCTCATACTACACATTCAAACTAGTCCACTGAATTTTAGTCCTATCTCTAATGCTGCCCTGAGTTCAGAACTTCATCACTGCTGTTTTGATGTCTGGTTTCCCTATCTCAACTCTTGCCTGATAATATCATGTTCCTGCTCAAAATTTTGTTGGCTCCATATCACCTCCTCAGCACAGTACTCACCATCAATTACCAAGGTCTCTCAAGTTACCTACTAAATATCAATTAACTTTGAGTCTTTCCATACCCACTGCCATGCCCTAGTTGAGGCCACCAACACCTCCAATCTGAAGAGAGGATTACCCAAGGCTTGACCATTTGCCTCCACTCTTGTCCCCACTCCCATGTCTTAAGGACACAACTTAATGTGGACCATAGGCTGCTCACTAACCTGTCTCTCACCTCCTCCTTCTTCACTCTATAGATAACCTCTATTCTAAGCCTTCACACAGGCCACTCTCCAATCTAGACATTTCTTACTCACACTCCTCCCCATCTAGCCCTAGCTAACACCTACTCATCCTTCAGGCTTCACCTTCAATATATATTCCACCAAACACCTCTATAAAACTGGACACCTTGGCTGGACTTGGTGGCTCAGCCTGTAATCCCAGCACTTTGGGAGGCTGAGGTGAGTGGATTAACTGAGCCCACAGGTTCGAGACCAGCCCAGGTAATCTGGCAAGACCTGTCCCTACAATAAATCAAAAATTAGTTGGGCGTAGCAGCACATGCCTGTAGTTCTGGCTTCTTGGAAGGCTGAGGTGGAAGGATCACCAGAGCCTTGCAGATTGACGTTGGGGTAGCCGTGAGCATGCCACTACAAAAAACAAACAAAAAAACAAACAACTGGACACCTTCACCCCTCTACCCCTCTGTGTAGGAAATGTTTCTTTCCCAATTCTGATGACTCCCTTTTGAGGGGAAATCAGTTAGGGTAACTTCAGGCTTCTTTCTGAATCTGTCCCAACAAAGACAGTTGATCTGACTGGTAAATTCTGAAAGAATCATTGGGCATGAGTAGCCCTTCTTAGACTTTCTTCTTCTTGGGAGCTAGCTGTCCTTAGAGAACAACATAGTGCCCTCCTCCTAAGTCTGACTAATTTGGAAAATCCACTTAGTAGGCCCAGTTGGCTCTCATTACAAGTCCTAATAAAAGTGATACTTCAGCCTCCATTTTAACTCATTTTTCAGATTGGAAAAAAGAGATGCTAATTATCATGGATCCCTTCTGAGATCAGTAACACCCATCCTACTATGCACCATATTATACCATAATTCCATTAGATTTTAAGTTTCCTGAAAGCAGGAATCAGCTCCTCTCACCCTCGTATCCCTAGTGCAGTGCCTAGCACATAGAAAATGCTCAATCTGCTATATAAATACAAGAAGTCCACTATGTCCTGGTCTCTAGCAACCTGACCAGTCTCATTTCCAACTACCTCTCTCTGCCCCTATACAATACTAAACCACTTGAATTCTCAGAAATAGGCCATGCTTTTTCACTTCCCGGTAAGTGCTATTCCTTAGATGTAGATTACCTTTAGGACCCCATAAAAACTCCTGCTTCAAAAGTAAGCTCCAGGAGCCACCTCCTCCATGAGGCTCTCCCTGATTCTTCTAAGCACACAGTTTTGTTCATATATGCGTTATAATATACATCTGCATTTTCACTGTCTATTGATGTCTAATGATGACTGCCTAGACTATCATTTTTCGGACATTTTTTGGATGTGAACCATAGTAAGACATTTGCTTTAAATAGCAAATGCACATTCATTCATGAAACAAATACCACATGTTTACTCCGTGCCAGGCACTGTTCTAGATATAAATGGTGAAAAACCAGATGAAAATCTTTTACTCCATGGAGGTACTGTCTAGAATTTTAAGTTGGATAAAGAAATACTTAGGCTCTCCAGATAGAAAAAAAATAAAGAAAAGCAAACAAGAAAAAACATCCAGCTGGCCTTACATTTCTCCCCAGCAATATCCAGAAGAAAATAAAACAATGTTGACTAAACTGTAAGGAATAGATAAATGTGACACATCCAAATAAAATTATGCCTATCCACCCTTTTATCAGAGCACATGCCTGGAATGATGTATGCTCGCCAAATGTGTTAAACCTAGTTATTTCTGGGTGGCCAGTCTGAGGTCATGTATTACTTTAAAAAAAAATTTTAACTATATTACTTGAGTTAATATTGGCCAGGAATCATTTTTCTAAAAATAGTAATTACTCTTGATTAAAAAACAAAAGAAAAAGAAGAATGGCAGTGTGCACCACAGTTATCAAGGAAAGAATCTACAAAAGGAAGGATGGTAAATTTTTTAAAAAGTTTCATAAAATAAACAACCTTACTACATGAGATGAATTTGAATATCTCCTCTTCTATTCTAATTATTTTTAAAATCTATTTTGCTTCACTAAACTGGCTTCGAGGCCCACTCATTGGTTATTATCTGTGGTTATTATCTTGAAAAACATACATGAAATGACTGATGCATTGAAGGTAGGGATGTCTTTCAACTACAGATCAGAAAATAATGCCCAGCATTTAGGAGACACTTAAATATAATTTCCTGATAAACAATGGAATGACTGAATGTTTTCCTCAGTAGAACTGAGAGCAACTTGAGTGTAGTTGAGAACAGAGGTTTATATTTTTAAAATGTTTACATCCTCAGGGCATAGCACAAGGCCAGGTACAAAACCAGTTCTCAAAACAGTAAATGCTTATTAAATTGAACAGAGATCTACAAGCCGGCAGCACAATTTAATACAGAACTTTACAAAGAGGTTTTATGACAAAGAAAACATTTCTCTTGGTTCTAGTAACAAAAGTATTCAGATTAGAGGTTTTAATTAAAACAATTTGTATTTGCCCACAAAAACATGATGTTCCCTGGAACAGCCTCCTACTTCACAGATGTAAAGACTTTTTTTTCTCCCAGGGATTCAAACTCCATGTGCCAGGAAGGACAAGCCACACTAACAGGTGCCTCTCTTGTTTCTAAATCTCCATCCTCAAAGCTTCCATTTTTAAGCAAAGGAATTTCAAAATTGTCAGATTACTATTTTTTTAATGAGTTTATTTTCTCTCTCTCAAACTGTATTGCTAATGATGTCAAAAGAGCTGGAATATGGTCTGTTACCTTATTACTACAATCCTAATGATTTGTGTTAAAAATAAATAAATAAAAATAAATTAAAAATTAGGCCTGTAATCCCAGCACTTTGGGAGGCCAAGGTGAGAGGACTGCCTGACCCCAGGAGTTGGAGACCAGCCTGTACAACGTGACAAGTACTTGTCTCTACAGAAAAATCCAAAAATTAGCTGGGTGTGAGGCAGAAGGATCGCCTGAGCCCAGCAGATCCAGGCAGCAGTTGCGGTGATTGTGCCACTCACTCCAGCCTGGGTGGCAGAGTCAGACTCTGAGTGAAGAAAAAAAAAAATCTTAAGACTTTTCTACCTCACAGAGCTGTTGTAGGTTTCAAACGAGAAAGTTATTTGAGAAAGAATCAGAAAATAGAAGCTTCCTTTACAATGATCTGTAACCTAGTCTTTACAGAACATGAACAAATCCCACTTCTTAAGAGAAAGTTCTCTTACTTGAAAAGCTCACCTTACCAATTCTGTGTTCATATTTGTAACTACTGCTGCCCATGTTTTCTTCAAACAAGAATACCATGGCTGCCCATTCCATCAAACTGAAAGTTTATTCACAGTTGATATAATAATTTTGCTACCTGGCTAAAGAAAATCTGCTTCTTAGTTTGTTTATTAAGATTTTTAAATTTAGTCAGAGGGAGGACCTGTTGTGGGTGTTTATTGCTTCTTTTAGTTTTTCTTTCTCTCTCTCTCTCTCTTCTCCTTCAGAGCTGTCTTCACTTGCAATACTCTATTTCCACTGCGGGTCCAATGGAGAGACACTGACAAAACAAAACAACAGAAGTGTGGAGAAGACAGAGGTGGAAGCCAGGGTGAGATGCACCTCTCACAGCTTTACCTGTGGGAAGAGGGGTCTACAGACCGCTGAGGTTTTGTTTTGGTTTCATTTTTATGTGAATTTGTTTGTATTAGTGTTGAATGTTTAATGCCACAGCTAACACATAAATGGATTTTCCTCGTTCAATAAAGGAATTCAAAGAAAGCTCTTGCTGGCTCCGGGGTTTCACCACCCCCCTCCCCACCCGGGTCCCTCCCACTCCCCCTCCTCAAGCGGCTAGCGGGTGCTGTTTCCTTCCGTACCTCTTTCTACCTGTTGACACACAACTTGGGGACTTGCAAAAACGTGAAAACTTCGAAAACCACGTGCCCGCCCTATTCCTCCCGCCCTACACACACCAGGACTTCAGCGGATAGCGGGCGAAGATCGCGACCCCCGCCCTTCACTCTCCGCGTCGCCCTTCGCCCCAGCATCTGGTGGCCCTGTCTCCCCGGATCGTCCCCCAGATCGCCCTGTCCTCGCTCCTTGCGCCCCGGGGCGCCGTGTGCTCTCTCCCTGCGCCCCAAGACACCCTGTCCTGCCTCCTTGTACCCTGGGCCTGACGGTCCCCGCTCCTTGCGCCCCGGGACGCCCTGTCCTCACTTCCCCCGTCCCTGGCCGCCTTACCCGCCAAGAACCGAGACCACAGGGCAGCCGGGACTCCCGAGCAAAGAAAGTTCGGCCCAGCAGCGCCATGTTGGGCTCCCAACTCGGTCGGGAAAGCTGGGGCGGGGCGCAGGGGGCGGGCCAGATATAACAAAGTTTCCGGGGCCGGGCGGGCCGCGGCAGCGGGCGGGGGCTGGGGACTGAAACCCGACCGGCCTGGGTGGTCACGACGCCCTTGGCCCCAAGGCTCGGGCCCGAGGGCGTCGCCTCGCTGGGCCTTGCCGTTGCTTTACCCTGCCCCGTGCTCCCAACGTATGGATGGGCGGGAATGGCGGTTTCGGGATCCCTGTGGGTGGGCTAACACCCGCGCCCTACAAGGGTCTGCAGATTGCAGCAACACGCGACATGCACGGCCCACCGAGTGCTAGCACATTTTTCACTCCTTAAGTGGTGTTTAAGTGCGTGGTCGGCGTGGCGCTGGATTCCATTTCATCAGAATAATAATAATATCTTTGATCTAAAACCTGGCCTCACTCTTCCAAAGGCAGAGCAGCTGAAATCAGCCACCAAGGGCGGCCTCGGGCTCCGTTGACTTTTCGCAGGACACACCGCCCCCTGTCGTCCTGATACCGCGCGACTCCGACCCACCAACCTCGGCTTTTGTCTCCAAGAGGATAATTCATACACGCGTTAACAGCAAACGCACACCTTTAGTACATCATTCTCCATCTCAGGGTAATATACCTGTTGACACAGTGCACTAGCACATTACTGTCACATTACTGTCCTCACCGGTAAAATGGGAATATTCATGCCTAATTCAGGATTATTATGAAGATAAAGTGTATGTGTGAAATCCCAAAGTGTAGGCTGATAGTGAAAACACTGAGAGTTTTCTATGGGTCTGGCATTTTCCAAGTGCTGAGAAAGAAAAAAAAGCAGCTCCTGACATTCAAAACCTGGTCTTGGACTCGCAGCAAAGTTATATTAATCTATTAAATATGTACTATCTCATAGAATACCAACCTCAGACAAGGTTACTTTGCGATCATAATAGGGTGAGGCAAAACGAGTCAACTTCATAATGTGCCCTTAGCACAGACAAAAACAGGTTCATGGTGTTGCCCACAAAACACCAAACACATCTCTCAGTCAAAATGAGTTACTACTTCTTTATCAATTGCAAATTTAACCTCACTCTAGTCTCTCATAGCTATAGATCTAGTCTCCTCTCACTATAGATAAGATGTATTGAGATCCTCATTCATAGAATTTCCCATGCTTTCTGACAGCAATTAGAGTTAACCCCCACTTCCATAGAACCTCAACCAAAAAGTCCAAAATCCACGATATGTTCTTTCTAACACCCTCTTACTGAGACACTACATGATTTTTTTATGGTGTGTGTCCTCTCTCACTGCAAAAAATAAATAATAAACTCAATCAACTCAACTACGTGTGTGTTCTTGTTGATCTTTGGCTGGAGGGCCTGGATAGTACTCTAAAACCAGTATGAATTCATTGTCTTGGTTTGGGTTCACTGGAAGCAGACACTGATACCAGGATCCAGTGCAATGATATTTGAGAACTTTGGGAAGTACCAGTGGGGAAGGGAAGGGAGGCAATCCAGGGTAAGTTATCTAGCTAGTGAACACCATGAGCAAATAGAGCTTAATGTCACCAGGAAATCTCTAATCTCTGGGTGAGGATGGAGAACACATGTCTCAGAGAAATTCCATCCAAGGGATGAGGAAGCTGTAGTATTTGCATACCAACTCCCACACCAGTATCTGCTGGGGTTGGGATATTGATTCCCTGACACTTCTGGCCTGTGAGATTGGCATGAGGCCTTGATTCAGAGCATGACCTCAAAAAAAAGAGATGTAGATGCCAACAGCTGGAGACAGACCGTGTCCTTAAGTGATACATGTTTATTGCGGAACTTGCTGTGATAAAAGTCTGACTCCATTTATGATGTTCAGCCCTCCTCCCTCTCCCTTCCCTTGTGTCCCACATCTGGGCAAGTTGATAAAAAAACCCAGACACTCCTGCCTTTGGCACTGAGAGCCAAGCCCTTTCTCGTGTATGGGAACCCTTCCCCTAGCCCCATTCTATAATCACAATAAAACCTCCAAGCCACTCTTTTTCTTTGCTGTTAGTTTCCTAGGACTGCCATCAGAAAGACCACAGATTGGGTGGCTTAAACAAGAGAAATCTATTCTCTCAGAGTTCTGGAGGATAGAAGTCAGCAGGGTGGGTTTCTTCTTCTGAGGCCTCTCCTTGACTTGTAGATGACCAAGTTCTCCCTGGGTCTTCACATGATCTTCCTCTGCACCCTTCCATGCCCAAATTGCCTCCTTTTATGAGCAAACCAGTCAGATAGGGAATAGGACCCATCCCCAATGACTTCATTTAACTGGAATCACCTCCTTAAAGGCTCTATCCCCAAATATGGTCACATTGAATGTACTGAGAGTTAAGACTTCAACATATGAATTTGGTGGGGGAGATGCATTTCACCCTATAACACTTATTATGTAAATAATAAGCCTTTTCATGGTGTATGTGTGGCATCATCATTCTTGACATTCATACAAAATTTTGAAAGTGGTATCCATCTTGTTGCTACAAAGATAAGACCCAGTTTCTGTTTTAAGGACATCGCCTGAATAAGTGAGGCCCACTCAGAATAGTCTTAATCTCCTTTTAATTAACTAAATATCAACTGGCTTGGAAACTTAATTGCATCTGTAAAATACCCTTGCCATATCCTATTAACTAAAAATGGTCACAGGTCCCATCCATATTCAACAGAAGAGAATTATACAGAGTGAATACCAGGGATTGAGGCTCATGGGGCCATGTTAAAATTCAGCCCACTACAATCACTATATTATACATGGGAAGGAAAGAGGTTGCAAAACTTTTAGGTAGACTTGCACGTTATCATCTGTCAGAGGGCAATGGCAGTATAATACACGTAGGCAAGCTGGACCCTGGGTTCAGCTTTCCTGTTGTTTTCCCAAGCTTGGTACAGAAGCAGAGAGTTAGGAAGGACTTCAAGGGAACAAATCAGCTAGGTAAAACATATCTACTGTGAACTGAAAGTCAGAGAAGCCTCCCCAAAGGCTTGTGTAAGACCTAGAGCCCTTCCAATGATTCTGAAATGGAAAGAGAGAGACAGGACACTAAAGATAACTACGGTTGAATGTTCCACAATTACCACAATTATGGAGGGATGGAAGGTTGCTTGAAATAGAATTTAAATAAAATAAGGTGATATTACCTTCATCCTTGAATGTGTGGTTAAAATGTGTACACACTATACCTGTCTTAAGTGTGAACAGAAAAAAAAGGTTTTACTAAACTTCTTGGATTTTAATATTTATTAAAAATCAAAGGACCTGAGAATATCATCATCTCTGCTGTTCCACCTGATGGTTCAGCCTTAATGTCAGGTAGACGCCTATATTCAGGCAATGACTACTCCTCACACATACACCATAGCCCTCCTCTGTTGCACACACCTGAATGTGGCTGCCTCTGATCCCCACAATCATGGGTCAGCTTTGATGCCACTTTCTCAAGGAAAGTCACCTTGACTTCTACATTAGTTTAGGTTCTCCTACTAGAGTAGAGAAGCATCCAAGTTTGGTGGTATCTGAAGTTTATATACTTTGGGGAGCTCTATTTAAAAAAATAATTTAAAATTAGGTGCAAAAGTGAATATTAGCTTATAATGTACAAATAAATTACAATAAATTAAATTTTTAAAAAAATTCATAGTACTCTGATTTTACATAAATACAGGTAATGTTTCAAATTACTTAAATACCTAATACATTTTTATTTGTAATTTCCCCCTATATTTTTTGACTGCATTCTCTTTGATCACCTTTTTACATATTGAAGTTTTTTGGGGTTGTTTTTTTTTTTTTATTGGAGTCTCACTCTGTCACCCAGGCTGTCGCATGCTCACGGCCACCCCAGCCTCGACCTGCTGGGCTCAGGTGAGCCTTCCGCCTCAGCCTTCCAAATAGCTGGGACTACAGGCATGGGCTACCATGTCCGGCTAATTTTTTGATTGATTGCATAGTCGAGGTCTTGCCAAGTTGCCCAGGCTGGTCTTGAACCCCTGGGCTCAGGCAATTCACTTGCCTTGGCCTCCCAAAGTACTCGGATTACAGGCTTGAGCCACAGTGCCCGGCTATTAAAGGTTTTATAAGCACATTTTTTTTTACAGAAAGAATGGAGCATGTGAGTGCCAAATCACGTGACCTCATGCACTCACAGACTTGCCCTGTGTAGGATTGCTACAGATCTGTATCCTGCAAAGACAGAAATTCTAACAATTCTATCATGCGTAACTCTCACCACACAAAAAAGTATGGTGCATTCATAATAGTAGATACTGCATTGTTGAATATTCATAACAGGGAAAACTCCCATTCTGACAGTGTATCCATGAAGCCATATCCTCTACTAACAGTTTTACATAATGTGATACTAGCTTCTGGCTCCATTCACTTTAAACAATTCAAACTATGCCTCTCCTCAAATCTCCATATACGTACAGGGCTGGGCACTATAGGACTCATCCACATCTCAATACTGCGTCTCGCCCTGCATGTACACGCCCTGCATGTACACAAAGTATATTGCTGGAAGACAGTCTCACAGAAAGACAACTAGCATTGACTTAACTCTGTACTGAAATGACAACAAACCACACAAGTTTCTCAGTCTATTTAAGTCAAACCTGTCCCCAATTCAACTTAGCAGATCCCCAAACTGCTAGGGACCACTCTCTCATCATCCAACATGAGAGGAAGTTTAACAGACAGAAGTAGGAATGGAAAGAAAGGTATTTTAACCACAGTTGTTAAAATATCTTACTTTTGCAAGTATTACTGAAAAACAAATGGCCCTGGAGTCTTGAAAGAGTTATGCGAGTGAGAAGCCCTGAAGCTGACTACCAGCAGGTACTTCCATCTCTTTCCTGGTTATATGTTTTTATAAAGCCTTGAATTTCCTTTTTGTGACTTTTATTACAGTCACAATTGCATTTCTATCTTATATATTAGAGGGGAGCCTGGAGTGGGTTGCATGCCT